TGTGAGCCTTTTCCTAATTGAGGTTCCTTGTAAGTTTGTTAAACTCAAGACATTGATCTTGATTTAATAGTTACCTTTTTTTAAATTAACTAATTTTCTAATTTTTAAAAATTATGGTGCATTAAGTTTGTAACATTAAATTTCTAAAACTCTATGATATGATACCAGAATGGAAATTACGTGGTTGTAGAAATACGGTGATGGTTTTTATCATGGGGTCTGTCCTTAAAGTAGGGTAAGGAATATGGGGTGAAAGTGAAGTGCCGCAGCCAATCGTAGGAATTTTGAGTAGGATTGTCATTAAGAAAGTATTTGAAAGGAATGGATTTGGGCAGAGGGGAGAGGAGAGGGCTGTTTCTTAACTCTTAGTCCAATGGGGATCAAAAGGATGCATGGGAGAGTAGAGTAGGACAATCAGTGTGGATTAGAATAGCAGTTTTTATTTATTAAGCATCTATTATGCATGACTGTACCTAAACCTTAAAGCAACCCTGTGAGGTTGGTATTATCCTCATTTTACAAATAAGGGACCTGAGGTTTAGAGAAGTTAACGAATTAGCCAAGGTCACATGTTCAAGGTAAATTGCCTGGTTGTAGAACTAGGAGTCGAATCAGATGTGTCTTCCTGCACAATCCTGAACATTAAAAAAAAGTTTTCAAAAAGCACTTGTTAGAAATAGACGGGTAACATGTCCATTGTAATGGTCCAAATAATACTACGTAAATGGACTAAAATTAATAGCCTCTTCCTTCCTCTACAGTCATACCCTATAATGAAGTCCCAGTGACCAATTTGGTGTTCCTTTATTGCTAATGCAAACATATTCAAATATATATGCACATTATTTAAGGGGTTATTTACTTGCCCCAACTCTACCAGGCCAGGCTTCACGTTCAGTAGCTCACAACCCTCTGTTCTATGCCAATTGCCCTGGTTGCTTTTGAAAGACACCTACGAAAGCAAATTCAAAAAACTCCCTTGGCAGCTTGTTCTGTTATTTAACTTTTGCTCTCAGGAACTGTTTTCCATTTCATTAACCCAGATAATTGTTCTGCAGCCTGAGTCATTTCTGTCTTGCTCTGCATATGGGGTTGATGGAGAGCAGCTGGTCACCCTATCAGGTGCAATTTCAACTTACATAGAAGATCTGAAAAAAGAAATTCGTGTGGGGAATATTAAAACCTGAAACACTAAATTTAATAATAAAAAAAGACATTGAAAACAACTGAAATTTCTTTCATTTTTTTTAAGTGGCTATAAGAAGTCTGAAGCAAATTCAGAATTACACAAATTGAAATAGTTTTTTTTATTGTGACCTGTGCTTTTTAATTTTAAGATTTTAGATCTATAAATGCATAAGCATAATCCATTTAACATTAAAGTCAATTTCCTGTTAGCATTTTTTATGTATAGCCCACACTTGATTTCCAAGAAACCCCAGAAACTGGTACTTCTAATGTATCAATCATTTTAACCAGAGAATGTATAAAAGAAACTTTATTCTATTTTATTATCACAAAATGTAAATTTCACCAAGAGCTTGCCTGTTATCAGGCCATATATCATGTACTGAATACTTTACATATATACTGTCATATAATCTTCAAACAAGTTCATTAGTCCCATTTTTTAGATAAGAAAACTGAGTCAGGTTACATGTTTATCATTCTCACTTACCAGTGATCAAACCCAGAATTGTTTTGTTACAAATTTGCTTTAAACACAAACCAAGGATCATGTAACTTCAAATCCAGTCTTCTTAACCTGCCATACAGTGCCTTAACTGCTGGTGACACCAGTGGGAAGCCAGATCAAGTCACTAACCAGGTTCCCAAATTTACCACATTGACCATTGGCCTTTAACAGATTTTAGAGGATCAATTTAGAAGGTTAAATTTTAAAGGTTAGATTTTACTTATGATAAAGTAAATTTCTGAAAGTTAAATATATTCTTAATTTAAAATGTATAGAATTATGAGAATCAAAATAAATTTATCAAAATTAAAAATTGCTAAAGGTACATATTAATACTTTGACAGAACAAAATAAGACATTTTTTAAATTAAAAAGATTTAAGGGGAGCTGAACTATTACTACATAGAACCATGCATTGTTGTATTTTTTTTTTTACTTTTGTGAATGAGCCAAATTATAAAACCTGAAGGTACAGTACAAGACTTCTCTCATTCAGACACCAGTGACAAGTTTGAGGGGATTCCTAAAACTACTTTCATGTTCAATAATTCACTGGACAGAGTCACAGAACTCACTGCAAGTTTTTATACTCATGGATTTGGCTTATTACAGGGAAAGGACACAAATTAGAACCAGCCAAGGCAAGAGGCACATAGGGCAGAGTGCAGAAGGGGACCAAATATGGCGCTTCTGGCCATCCGCCTCCTGTGGGGCCGTGTTACCTCCTCTGGCCATGCTGTGCGACAGTGTGCACAGGGGACTGCCAACCAAGGAAGCTTGCCCGTGCTTGTGGTGTCCGAGTTTTTACTGGAGCTCAACTGCAAGCTGCCTACGTGTCTGGTCTTTCATCTCTAGCCTCTCCTGGGACCTCCAGTTCATACCTTTAATCTCCAATTCTGCTGAGGTCAGAACTGATATGGTGTGGCCCCAAACCCATCATAAATCATGTTCCCTAGACTCAGTGGTCAAAGCCCCAGACAAATCAAGGCACTCCTATCAGGCAGGATAATCCAAGGGCCTAGAGATCACACCCCAGAAACCCAGGGCAAAGGCAGACTTCTCATTGGGTAAGGTTAAGTCTTCACTACACAGAGTAGTGTATTTCATCATCAGTAGCATAAAATTGAATATTCTCTTCATACCTGTTAAGTCAAACTTGTTAAAGGCTTTTGTGGGGGGCAAGGCAAACCTATGCATTTGTTTAATATGACAAGTTTTTATTTTTTTAATTTCCAAGTTTCCGTTTGACATATTGGTCATTCAGTGGAAGAACTGACGTTTCAGTGAGTTGGCCATTTGGAGAGTTAGTTTAGGGGCATATTGACTCTCACTGAATAACTTTGACAGTGGTTCTCAAAATCAAGTGAGCATCAGAGTCACCTGGATGACCCTTACAACACAGATTGCTGGACCGAC